GGCAGATTTAGTGCATTATGATTGGGAGGTTGGGTGACATCTTGGGTTGCTAAGCGAGTTTAAACATTCTAGGTTGTATTGTAAGATCATCAGTTATACGAAGCATGTGTTATACAAAGAAAGAAATATCCTGTTACATTCTAAGTTACATTGCAAGGCTATCAGACAAGCTCACACAAAAAGAGGAATTTTCTGTTATCAGGCTTGTTGGGTCATGGCCATGCTGGCCTGGGCTTGACGGGCATCCTTGGCAGGCTATATTTTAAATACTAAATTTCCTTTCAGAACCAGATAGCTTCTCCACTTGACAATGGAAAGGAAAGAAACCCAGAAAATAATACTGACAGTGTAAAAAGAACAAATGGGAAAGTTAGATACAGAATTGTTATCAATATGTTCTCTTTTCTACCACAGAATGCCTTGAAAATTCATAGTTACTCTTGTTTTCTCCAATTTTCTTTTTGTACCTTATAGAACAGACTAATTTAGTCTCTTTCTGTTATCCAGAAAACAAGACTTTTGCACTGTATTCAAAATGATTAAGCCATGAACACAATATTATATGCATTCAAGTGGGAAAGTCTAGACTCATAATTGGAGACTTTTCTGTCTCACAAAAGATATTAAACAATTTAAATATTGGTTAGTTTAATTTGCAAGACCAGAGAGACCATGGGCCAAGGATGATCACAATGTTAGTGAACAAATTCAATTTTCTGTGATTAACAAAGTTGGTAGTTTAGAGTGAAAAATATCACAGATTTTGTTTAATAGTTTATCTCTTTTGAGATAGGGTCTTGGCTGTGTAGTTTAGATTGGCCTTGAACTCATTGTGTAGCCCAGCCTGACCTTGAACTTGTGGTGATCCTCCTGTCTCAGTCTCTTAAGTGTTAGGATTATAGATGTGTGCCACCACACTTGGCTACAGTTTTAGCAAGTGTAATTTTTCATATTAAGTACACATATTTCTGGGATTAGAACTTCCATGGTTTGAACATCACTGACCTTCACTCACTTTACTCAGCAAACATTTAGAAAGCATTTTGTTTTCAAGAGTAATAGCATGTATTACCGTTTTTTCATCTTTAGTTGCTGTTTTTTTCATTATTTTTTATTAGTACATGCTTGCAGTACATAAAGATTACACTCCTCACAAGGAGTTAGTGCATGTACATAGCACATCCCTTTTTTCATTCCCTTCCTCTCCTTTTGATTACTTTCCCATTTGCAAAAGATCTATCTTCCTATTTCCTATTATCTGTTTTATTTTGCTCTTTATTTATATTTTGGGCTTCTCATATAGAAGAAATCGTGAGATATTTAAATTTGTGTGTTTGAGATTATACATAAATTTAAACAAGTTTATTTCCTTTGTCTTTGTCTTTGAGGTTTCTGAAACCTCAACAGTAAGCAGCTCTTACCTTAAGAAATCACCACATTCAAAAGTCACATAGGCATGTACACTAATAGTGTGAGCCAGCCAAGACAGAGATGATTCCCACTGATCCCCTCAATATTGAGCGCTGACCACATTTGCAGTCAGTGTTAACAGTGACCACTGTGATGGACATAGTGCAGAGCTAACCCTCTTGGAAATGCAGTCACAAAAAGCATACTAACGGGAGATATAGTAGGTATCATCAGGTAATTAAGACAACTAGGTGATAGCATATGTACTCTTTACAAAAATTTATAGGTAGCTAGAGACCTTGTGGAGCAAATGCAAACAGAAATATGCTATTTATTTATTTATTTTAAAGGGGATAAAACCAAGGAAAATTAAACCAGAATAAAGTGATATATGATTTTCAAACTTTATGAAATCAACAATAGTTACCAAAATATCTTTATTGTTTACAAAATGGCTGCAGATACCACCTTCGGACATATTAAAAATAGAACAGAACAGAATAAAAACAAAACAAAACAATGAATGCAATAAAGGACATCAAAACAAATTAGTAATTACATAATGGCTTCCATAACACGTCTTGTTTTTTTAATAGCTGCTCATGTTATTAGAGTTAACATAAACAAAAGAAAATCAAAACTCAACCCAACAAAACAATGAAAATGCTACAGTTTCTGGGTGGGACTCTCTTCCCATGGGTCCTGGTTCTCTCCCTCCTCGGTCTGTGAATGGCCCCAACTCACAGAGAGAGGCTTGGGTCTGGCTCTCCCCAAGCAGGTAGCAGCCCTCCAGAAACATGCTTTTTATTGTTCTGTTGACTGCATTCAAAATTCTAGATTGGTGTGGCCTGGGTAACATGTATGTAGCATATTTGTGTATATCTCCTTTTCCATATGTTGGGTTCTTTCCTTAAAATAGAAAAGTATCAAGTTAAAAAATTATGAGTACTTTCTGGGAATTGAAGCAATTCTTGGGCTTATCTATTATGGGTTTTACAATCATACACACCAAGAAAAGAGTGAGCTGCCCTTTCTCACAGTCTTTGATAAAATCAGCTATTGCAAAGTTTATAATCTTACTAATTTTGTCAAGGAAATAATAATCTGTGACTAATATTTACATTTCTATCATTATTAGTCAATTTAAATATTTCTGTTGATTTCCTTATCTGGGACTGTCTATGCAAGATCATTACTATTTTAAATGATTTTCTGTGGTATATTTTAACTTTAAAAGTAATCCACATAGTTCTTTATATAAAAATACTAATCTTGTCATGTTTTCTGTTCCCAATTGTCACTTGTCCTATAATATTGTGGATTTTAGTACATACTCTTAAATTTCACAAATCAGCTGAAATTTCTATCATTTTCAACTTTCTTTTTGAGATAGTGTTAGTCTGGACTTGAACTTTCTACATAGCCCAGGCATTTCTTAATTTTAAAAGCCTTCACTGTATCAAAACTTTTGTTAAGAATTCACAAATCAAAATTTTCAAGTTTTGTGTTTCATTTTGTTTCAGTGGCTCACAGTTGCAGGAGATAGGCCACTTGTACAGGAATCGTGCTAATTAGCAAATGTTCTTTACTTACGCTTCTTGTGTAAAACCTTATCATAAAGAATACTTCTGAAATGACAATTTACCTAATGTTACAGATTATTTTTACAGAATGTAAATATAAACAGGTATCAGCTTGCACACTGGATATTTTTTTTCCTTCTCATACTCCTGGCTGATCTTGAATTCATGTGCTCAAGTGATCCCTCTGCTTCAGCCTCCCAAGTACATAAGACTACAGACATGTACTACCATACCCCACCCAATTAAGGTTATAAAATCTCTCTTTGCAAGGATTTTTCTATTCTGCTAGTTTTAAAGTAGTAGATTTAGCTCAAAAAGCCCCTTCACCTTCATGTTGACAGGAAGCACAGCAGGGGACAGGGCATTGAAGCTGCTTTTAAGTTTCTCCTTTTATCTGTGCAACCCATTATACAGATTTATTTTCCTTTTCAGTTACTTGTTTTTTTTTTTTAATCGGTACTGGGGATCAAACTCACGACTGCCTGCTTGCAAGGCAGGTGTTTATGCCGCTGAGCTAAATCCCCAGCCCAAGTGCTTGGTTTTAAAAGTGCTTCATTCATAAATTCTGAGGAAGTTACGGAAAATATAAATTATTCTAAATCACAGTATTTAGCCAGGAGAAAACTACAACAGATGATACAGAAGTGGGTAGCACTCTCTAGTGGACAATTTTGGAACCAATGCGACCTCTGATGGGTGCATCTGAACCCACTCAGAAAATTTACATTAACCTATAGTAGCCCAACCAAAGCCTATGTTACAATAAAAGTTTGAAAAGCTCCTGTCTTCTTTTTGTTTTGTGGTAGGGACAGGGTCTATTTAGTTTCCGCTAACCTTGAACTCACTATAAAGCCCAGGCTCGTCTAGAATTCATGGTGCTCCTTCTGCCTCTGGGATTATAGATATGCACTACCATTCTGTTTAGTTCACCATTTATTGAATACTGCACCAAAAGTGAAAACCAGACTGGCTGTATGGAAAAGCTTTCACATGTTCATAAAGTTAAAAAAAGTTGTGAAATTGAAAAATCACAAGTTGAACCATGGTAAGTCAAGGACTGCCTATGACCTGTTTGCCTTCCCTGGGAGGAAAGGCCATCAGGGCAAGGGTTTCTGTCAGTCTAGGCCACAGCAGTGTTCCTAGTGCCTAGCAGTTTCTGGCACACAGCTGGTGCTCAGCAAGTAGTCTTTGACTGCATGATTGTGTAAACACAGTGACACAGCAGATATTAAATGCTTGCTGGATGAATGCACATGTTACCATATGAATGAGAAGGCGGACTTTGAGCTACTGGCTCCCCAGAGTGTGCCCTCTGACCCTCAACAAGAACATTATTTACAACACAAGGCCTAGGTGGAGTGAAAGCAAGCCAGGGATAGCATAGTGCTGGTAGGAGCCTACTTTTTTGTTTCCACCTCTAGACGCTGACCATATAGCTGGTGTCAGTGGAGGCAGCAGGCTCTGATCGCAGTTGAAGCCGACTTCAAGCACAGGTGCGTTGCTACAGGCACAAGCACTGCCTAGCTCAGAGGCCCTAAACACTGGCTAGGCAGCTAGCCTTGGAGCCTCAGGTTCTGCGGAAGACGCGATGCTGGGAAGCCCCCAACCCAGGCATCCTCGCGCAGCAGCTGGATGTACTGGGTTTGAGACTGCGGAATTGTCGGTATGCCGAATGCGTTCTATCTCGAGTTCGCTGCTGAGACTGTCTGCCACACTGCTGCCACTCCCAGCCCACTCCTTTGGCGCGACCGCCCACAGCAGCCTTCTGTCCCTCTTCTCCCTGTTCCCTGCTCCTGCATGTATCTTCTTGACTGTAAAAGTCGCAGATGCAACAGATGAAGTCTTGATGCCGAAAAGGTTGCGTCGATGGTAAAACGTTCAGCACACAAGACAAGACTGCCCAGGAATGCCGCAAGTAACAGGCCGGAAGCGGCTATGTGGTTGAACGCGTCCTTTTCCCTAGCAACCGGTCGTGAAGGAAGTGGTTGCCACCGCCTACCTTTGCACGCATGCGCGGAGACGTAGCCGCTGACGGAATAGGGCCTCCGCGGCCGAGTCTGGCGCGTGGAGGGTAGCGGGAGCTTCTTGGGTGGCGGAGCCGCGAGAGAGGCGGGATGGCGGCGCCGTTCTCCCCGCGCCGGGAAGTCGGGGCTACCGACCGGCGCTGGCTGGCGCTGCTGTCGCCCCTGCTGTTGGTGCCATTGCTGGCGCGGCCCACGGGGGCGCTGGTCGAGGGGCTGTACTGCGGCACGCGGGACTGCTATGAGGTGCTGGGCGTGAGCCGCTCGGCCGGCAAGGCGGAGATCGCGCGGGCCTACCGCCAGCTGGCCCGGCGCTACCACCCCGACCGCTACAGGCCCGAGCCCGGCGACCAGGGCCCCGGGCGCACGCCGCAGAGCGCCGAGGAGGCTTTCCTGCTGGTGGCGACGGCCTATGAGACACTCAAGGTATGGGCTGCGGGGAGGAGCCACCGCGGGAAGCGGGTGGCGTGGCGCCTGGGACCTGGCCCGCGCCGCTAGGGCGTCTGGGACCCGGGTAGTGCGGCCGTCGCCTTGACCTGTGGGAACCTCTCCCGCGTGGCCCTGTGACCAGGGTGGGAAATGAGAACCTTTTTGGTACTTGGGGCAGGGGGACTGCAAGCCCCCTCCTCTTTTCTCGATAGTCATTGTGTTTGTAACGCTTTGGGTATTTTATGATTTTGTGAAAGCATTCTGATAACGTGTCGTTCACATTCGGAAAGCGGGCTAATTGTTATTTATTATTAGGATCTTGGGCAGAACCCAGAAAAGATCTCGAATATTGAGCAAATGTCCATTTGACGTAACAGAAATTTGGATTCTAGGGAGAGTTTTAACAAAGACACTTAGATTAGGTTTTGAGGAATTGTCGTTAGACCCCACGTTTGCCTATTGGCTCTGACACTCTCTAGTGACCTTGGATACTGTTTCTTCATATGTATAATTAAGAAAGTGATACCTCCTCACAACGTCATTATGAGGATTTAATGATAACAGTAAGAAACTATATAAAACCCGTAATTAATATTAGACTTGGGGAACGAGACTCTTGAGAATTTCTGATACAAAATATTTTTCGGTCATATGTTTAATCATTTGTCAGATAGTTTTATTGTGGTCTGTGGGGTCGAAGATGGAGACATGGAGCATGATGCTATTTTTGATTACTGCAAAAATTGAACCATATAAGAACTCACCAAATATGAGTCCTGCCTAGACGTATTACTGCTTCAAGGGACTCAGCATGGTAATGCAGCAGCTGTTGTAGTTGTAGGGTATTTCTTTACTAGTCTTTTTTTCAACCCCCGAGGTAAAGTTTTTCATGTAGCTATACCCTATAACCTGCTTTTAATGACTTTGTGTGGATGTACTATAATTTAAGTATGTATGGGTTGTTGCTCCAGATTGGTTTAGTGGAGCTGAAAATGCTGCATGTTGCACCAAAGAGTTAGAGATTCTTAATGGTTTTTAGAGCAGTTTACGTAATTTGGAGTCATAAAATGAGTGTTGTTGGTTCGCTAAATTCTCACCAGCTTTAGTAAGATTGTAATTGTTATTGGCAGTTAGCTGAGGTTTAGGGAAGGAGCTGGCAAAGTGCTGAGCCTAGGGAGAGCTCAGTTGCCCATTGCTCTTGGTGGAGGGATGAGAACAGACTTGTGAAAAACAGAAAGAACTCTCTCCAGCTAGGATTGTCCAGAGTGTGAAGCCCAGTCTGTTGTTGTGCAGAGCAAAACAGGGTCTAGGCTATTGGTTTTTCTCACAGTAGCTTGCTCTGGTCCTGTAGAGAGTACTTATTTTCCTATTTTTACTTGGCCTAAATGCACTCTGCAGAGCCTGTTTCTTTCCCTATTTGGGCCAAACTTACTCAGCAGAACCTATTTCTTTTCCTACCCTTGAATAAATGTGAAATCCTCCTGGCAGTTTTTTGGTTTTGTTTTTTTAAAGGTAGGGTCCAGGCAGGTAGTGCTCCAAAGCCCTGGTGCTACAAAAGGGAGCTCTGGACAGGCAGAATTTCCACAAGGCAGGGCAGCAGAAATGCTGGCCTGTTACCTTTTTCTGGGTTCTGCTAATAGAGGATAGAGGCAGGTTTGGGATGAGAATGGTGAGCATCTTAGTAAGAACTTTGAAAATATGGTCTATAGTTACAGATTAGAAATTCTTCCTGGGAGACCTCCTGGGACTCTGGACATCTTAGGACTGATCTGGTGGATCTGTGTGGTAGCCTCTAATGGTTTCTGCCCCACTGATTGATTATTGACTTGTCTATCGGTTAATACAAAGCTAGTTTGTACACTGAAAAGGAAGGAACTTTTAGGTAGTTAAAAACTTGGATGTTGGTAGAAAGTAATTGTTTTACTGAATTCTGACATGATGTTTATAGTAGCTACAAATACTTCCAAATAGAGAACTAAAAATGGAGATGAACTAATAAAGGAGGGAGCCTAGGGAATGGTTTGTAGCTCCTCAGCCTACCCCAGGAGGATGGAAATTATGTATGAGACAAAAGAGATATTTGGAGATAGTTTGAACCTTTGCAAATCAGACCTAGCAGAATTCTGTAAAAATTGCTGTGTAAATTAAGGCAATGCAGCTGTAGTTAGCATATTTGATTACTGGGGATTCAAGAAATTCATGGACTTTGGAAGTCAGTAAACAGACTCTCACTGGTTATATCAACATTGGATCTGATGAGGTGGAACACTCTGGTCCTGCTTAGGTTTTCATACGTGGCTATAGCACTTATCACACTGCCCTGTAAGTATTGAGCAGCCCTTCCTCTTTCTCCAAACCATGCTCCTTATTTTTTGTGTGTATATTCATAGCACCTAGCACAGTGTCTGGTACATCAGATAATGAATGTTATTTAAACTCACATTGGAGACAGATTCAAGTAGCATGGAAATTGAATTTCTGGTGTTTTACATTGTTACATGGAGCATATTTTTCTATTTTACCCAAATTAATTGTAATTTTAAAGAGTAGTGTAGATATATAAATTGGGTGGTTGTGAATGAAAACTTTTGCATGAGAAAAACTTCTTTTAATGTTCTGGGTTTTAAAAAAGTGATAATTTTTGAATAGATAAAAATTGAATGAAATATGAGAAATGATATAGAAATAAAACTATGATTGGTAGGAAATGGGAAAGTAGTAGGATTTGACAACATTTTACAAGATCGCAAGAGAAGAACATAGGGAGTATTGGTGGTGTGGAGATTATCTGGTAAGTTGAAAGGATGTGTAAAGCATGAACTTTCTACATTTTCTCAATATATTCTTCTACTTAACCTTTCCTCAACTGGTGCTAGGGAGGAGACCATGACAATGGACTTTAAGCTTTTAATATAACGAGGGAGACAGGAACTTATTATTTAGTTATTGTTTACTTATGTTATCTGGTAAAACATGGGAGACATACTTATTTGGTTATTATTTATGTTGCATAATAAAAGTTTATACTGTAGCATGGAGAGGGAAGTAATTATTCCTCTTGGGAGATTAGAGAAGACTGTCTTCTTCAAGGTAGATGTGAAAAAAAGTCACTCAGTAGTGAAATGATATTTCTTTTTTTTTGGTCTTTTTATCGGTACCGGGGCTCGAACTCATGACTGCCTGCTTGTAAGGCAGGCGCTTATGCCACTGAGCTAAATCCCCAGCCCCGAAATGACATTTCTGGTGGATGGAAAACTTAATTAAACTTAACAGAAATACAGAGTCATGAGTATTCAACACTTATTTTAGGACTGAGACATACATAATTTGGGAGGTGTAGCTATAAATATTTACATAGACTACCCAAAATATTCCATCAAAAGACTAGAACTGTAACAAATTCAGCAAGGTAGCAGAATACAAATCAACACACAAGAATCAATAACATTCTGTACACCAATAATCTTTTTTCGTTTCGTTTTTATCGGTACCAGGGATCGAACTCATGACTGCCTGCTTGCAAGGCAGGCGCTTATGCCACTGAGCTAAATCCCCAGCCCCTGTACACCAATAATCCATCAAGAAAGAATTTAGGAAATTAATATCATTCACAGTAACTTCAAGAAAAATTAAATAGTTAGGAATTAACCTCTATGATGAAATCTAGTGCTCTGACAAAGATCAAAGAGGACATCAGAAAGTTGAGATCTTCCACTTTGTGGTTAGGCAGAACGAATACCGTGACAGTGGCCGTACTTCCAAAACTGATGTACAGATTTAATGTAATCCCAGTCAGAATTACCTAAAGCATTCCTCACAGAATTAGAGAAAACAGTCCTAAAATTCATATGGAACCTGAAGAGATCCAGTATAGCAAAAGCAATTCTGGGCATGAAAATTTCAGATTTCAAGTTATATTATAAAGATACAGTGATTAAAAACAGCATGGTAGAGGGGACCACAAACATATGTTGGAGCAGAGATAGGCTTTTTAACAAAAGTGCTAGAAAACTGGCCATGCACATGTAGAAGACTGAATCTTAGACCCATATCTCCCAGTGTACTAAACTAAAACCAAAATGGTTCACAGATTCTTTTTTTTTTTTTAAAGGCAAGGTCTTGCTATGTAAGTGAGGCCAGACTTGAACTCACTCTGTAGCCCAGGCTGTCCTGAAACAGTCGTTGATGATCCCCTTGCCTCAGCTTCCTGAGTGCTAGGATTACAGGCATGCACCATTACACCTGGCTAAAGATATTAAGATAGAAACAATCTTCAAGGTAAAACTCTTGAAGACATAGATTTAGGGTAGGGACTGTCAGAACTCCATTTGCATGAGAAATAACATCAGGAATCAACAAATGAGATATTAAATAAAAAGCTTCTTCATAGCAAAGAAAACAAATATCAGAGTGAAGAGAACCTACAGAATGGGTAAAAACTTCTTGCCAGTTTTTCTGTCTTAATTACTTTCCCTTTGCTGGGACAAAATACTGACAAGTTAACCGAGGATTTGATTTTGGCTCACAGTCTGTGGAGGTTTCAGCCTGTACTTGGCTGGTTCCCATGCAGGCAGCGGGGCATGGCAGAGGAGAAGTAGCTCCATGGCAGGGCAGGCAGGAGACAGCTAAGCAGCCAGCTTAGCTTCCCTTCCCTTTTATTCCATCCAGGCTATAAGCCTTTGGAGTGTTGCCTCCCACACCCAGTGAGTGGTAAACCAGTGAGTGGACTAATTTAGTTATTATACACCCATAATCCATAGTCACAGACCCTAAATCCAGCAACCCCTGGAAATCCCCACCTATGAGCACATGCGACTTTGAGGGGTCACCTAGATAAACATCCTTTGATGAAAGACTCATACACAGAGAACTCAAAAAATTAGATTTCCAAATATAAAAGACATAATGGAAAAACTGGCCAACTGGAGAAGCACAAATGGCCAATAAGTATGTGAAAGTGTTTTAACACCTCTGGCTATTAGAGAGATGCAAATTAA